AACTCCACAAAAATGGATGAATGATTTTAATAATAGTTTGATTAAATATTAATTCACATGTGTTTTTTTTTCTTTTTACCCTAATTCCTCTTCATCTCATCCCCTTCTAATTGCACTAAATGTTGTTAGAGCATGATCTCTATATCATGTCTCAAAATAAATGGTGCATAGATTGCTATTGACCGGCTTCAAAATAGGTACGACTTCTATATAAGTCCACTTACGATTGCTTAACATAGCGCTAAATGTTGTCCCGATTCGAATAAATGATCATTCGTGGCCCAACCTTATGATTGCAAGCCCAAGTATGTTAATTTGATCTCTTTAATCCAATAACCTTGAGATTCATTATGTGGAGGCTTTGGTTCTACCAATCCTCTAATGGATCTATAACACCTTTGGTCAACGCAGATCACTTAAATATCGTTGATCATTAAATGGTACTTGTGAGAATTCCAAATGGATGATATACTTGACAAAAAGCAAATGCAACTTGTTGTGTGGAGGCTTTGGTTCTATCAATCCTCTAATGAGTTCCAAATGCAAGTTTCAAGATGGTCATCCAACTAACCACTAATTATTGACTTGTTTTATTTTATGCTTTTATTCTTTTATGCTTTATGCACTATTTATTTTTTAGCATTTTACATTTCATGCCATTTTCATCTTTGCTCATTTGAGCATTTATTTTCTTGTCATTTTTACTTTGCTCACTTGAGCTCTTCTTTTTCCTTTTTCTAAGATACTTAATAACCAACTTAAACCCTAAAAAACTCTTAATGGTACTTGGACTATTTGGTTACTATCCTTGGCATGATGGAGCAGTGGACTTTTTCTTAGATTTAGGATTAGAAACCTTGTCCTATCTTGGAGACCTTGTGATCTTATTTGCTTATTTTGTCTGGAGTTCTTGAGGTTTACGTCAAGACATTGTGTTGCTTGTTTGTTTTTGTGTGCAGGTTTTTGGTGATTACATCCTTTATTTGTAATCTGGAATTCACCCGCATACAGCCGTTACTCTGCCCAATTTTTGTGAAGACTTAATACACTTGAAGTTTGATTCTCTCAAGAGGTCTAGTATCTTTGCTTGCTTGGTTTCACTCCAAAGAATGGGAATTCCATCTTGGCTCATAATGTCAAGTTTTGGCTTCTTGTTGGTTAAATGGTCTTTATCCTTAGCTTTTACCTTATGCTTTAGGATAGCCTCTTCTTCTCCTCCCATCTTCTTTAATTTAAAAAATCTTCTCCCTCCTTTTTAAACTCTTCTTTTTTCTAAACTTGAAATACTTTCATAATAAACTTGGACTTAGGTCCATGCATTTTCAAAACATTTTCATCAATAAACTTCAATCAATCTAATAATACTTTGACACTTTTTTGTGAGAAGACTAAAATTCAACCAATCTCATTTCAAACCATTTTACCACTTTAGCTTTTTATCTTTAAAATTTTCTCAAAAGATTAGACTCTTGTCAATTCTTGTAGTGGCGCAAACAACTATACTTCTATAATATGTAGTGAAGAGAGATATTTTCCACTTGGGTGTTGAGTGAGGAATTGTTGATTTTAAAATCCAAGCCATATCCTCCACTTTGAGATGATGTAAATTCTCCTTTCTAATGATTGTGGGTAGTAAGTATGTTTTCCACACGGACAATGACGATGATGTCTTATCTCATAAAACTAACCAACACACTTGTGTTTCAAATTTTTAAAAGAGGAACTACGTGTACCCTAATCCCCTATTGCACGAAAGGTGGTACGTAGGCACTAAAGGTTCGCAACCGCGGAGGGTGCAAAAATCATAAAAAAATACTTCTTTTCTCACCTCCACTATCCATTTTATACAACACATTTTTATAGCCCAAAATATACAGATTTTTCAAAGAGGTTCCTGCGGAGTACCGTAGATGTTTAGGGTGCTAATACCTTCCCTTTGCATAACCAACCCCCTTACCTTGAATCTTTCCCCCTCTTTTTGGGTTATTCGCTCTTTTCCCATTCCTTTGGAAACAATAAAGCGCGGTGGCGATTTTTATTTTGATTTGTATAAAGTCTAGTCAATCCAATGGCTTAGTCTTGAACATTTCTACCGCTACAATATCCAATTGGGAAACAAGAAGCGAAGTCAAGGGTTTTCTAGACAAGTTCCTAATAGATAAGGCCCAGCTATTTAAGGATGATTTGGACTTTCAAGCTTTTGAGGATGCCATTACTGTCGAGGTGGTTTATTTCTCACCTCCCTAAGTCAGTGCTGGAGAATGAAGAAGGTTTGGGTTGGTCGCAAAGTATAATGTCACTTTCTCACACGAACATTCTCTGGTATTCCCGATCTATGGGAGATATTTCTATTATTGACCGCTGCGGGGAGTTCCCTAATGTCCCACTATTTGGCATTAGGGGAGGCATAACTTACAATCCTTGGTTGGCTCTGTGACAATTTTGTTACGCTCGAAGGGATGGTCCTCATGAGATACTTATCCAGGGCATTATGTTTAACTATGAGGATGATGTTCAAGGGTATCGCCAGAGGTTCATATGAGCTTAGGGCATGGTAAACAGATCTGAAGCCAAGACTTTGGGGCCGAAGAATTCCATTCCTATGGAACCTTATCTCCAATGGGTACGAGCTCGTGCTCAGAAAATTATGGTGCCCTACATAGCCGTTTTACCAGTGATTGTGGAGCCCATTACTGAAGGGGATATTCCCTACACGGTTCTTCATCCTGATATGCCCACCGATCTTGAAGAACTACAGAGGTCCTGGATTCAGTTGAAGAAGGAGCGTGATACTTATAGGGATCAGTTCTATGCCCAGGAGAAGAAAGTTTTAGAGCTCACAAAGCAGCTTCATGAGGAAAGAAGCCTTAATGTCTATCTCGGCACGAAGAGGAAGCATCCATGGGAAACTTGATTTCTTTTAGTTTTTAGAATTTTCAATTGTAACGCCTAAAAGGCAATTGTATTTTGAATTTTACTAATAAAATCTTTGTTTCATTTTGGTTCGCAAATTTAAATTTCCCAAAGTCCTTAAAATCATTGCATATGCATCCCATCCATAACATTGCATAAACAGGTACCATTACAGGTTTCCCATATTCTTCGCTGTTTATTTCAGCAAAAAAATGTCTTCTGAACAAAGCATCAAAGACCTTCAGGCACAAAATGCCCAATTTCAACAGATGTTCATAAATCTGGAAAAAGGGCAGGAGGATCTGAAGGCCATCATCCTGAAAGAGAAGAATAAGCCCGCTGGTATCCTTAATATGGGCAGAAGATTCAAAGGGCCGCTAAAGAAACCAGTCGATCTGACCTCCTCATCTAAAAAAGGGGAGAATCAAGAGAGGGAGACAAGGGAGGAGGACCCCAGTCCTGAAGTTTCTGACAATGATACAAACTACAATGATGAGCAGTATCCTCCCATTGAGGACAAATACAAGCAGTTAGAAGATCGGTTGAGCGCTATGGAAGTCCAGAGAATACCTGGGTTGGACTTTGGAGAATTGGGATTGGTGTCGGGAGTGGTCATCTCATAGAAATTTAAGGCTTCGGTTTTTGCAAAGTATGATGGGGTGTCTTTCCCAAAGCTCCATCTCTGTTCCTATGTAAGGAAAATCCATCCCCACACTGCTGATAGAAACTTGTGGGTTCACTTCTTTCAAGACAGTCTCTCATGGACTCAGCTTGAATGGTTCTACCAACTGGAGGGAACCAATGTCCCAAACTACGAGTATTTGGCTGATGCTTTTTATAAGCAGTATCAATACAACGCTGACCTTGCCCCTACTCGTACTCAACTCCAGAGTATGTCCATGGGTGTAGGTGAAGGCTTTAAAGACTATGCGCAGAAATGGAGAGATTTGGCTGGGAGAGTCCAACCCCCTTTATCTGACAGGGAGTTGGTTGACATGTTTCTTGGAACACTGTTTGTTCCATTCTTCAACCATTTGATCGGCAGCTCGTTAACTGGTTTCACTGAGCTGATATTAACTGGAGAGAGGGTAGAAGCCGGGAGCGGGAGCGGCAAAATACAGAAAGACACCTCTTCGAGTTCAGTAAAGAATCCCTTCACTGGTAAGAAGGAAGCCAGTCACTATGCCAGAAATAACCTACGAAAGCGCTTTTTTTGGGCTTTAAAAGCGCTTAAAAGCGCTCTCGTAGGTGGCGCTGCTAAAGGTTTTAGCAGCGCTTTTTGTTCAGAAAAAAGCGCTCTCGTAGGCCTACCTATGAAAGCGCTTTTTTCTTAAAAGCGCTTTCATAGGTAGGCCTACGAGAGCGCTTTTTTCTGAAAAAGCGCTTTCATAGGTGTATTCAGAATGCGTATAAAGTAGGCCTATAAGAGCGCTTTTTGTTCAGCTAAAAGCGCTCTCGTAGGCCTACCTATGAAAGCGCTTTTTTCTTAAAAGCGCTTTCATAGGTAGGCCTACGAGAGCGCTTTTTTCTGAAAAAGCGCTCTCATAGGTGTATTCAGAATGCTTATAAAGTAGGCCTATAAGAGCGCTTTTTGTTCAGCTAAAAGCGCTCTCGTAGGCCTACCTATGAAAGCGCTTTTAAGAAAAAAGCGCTTTCATAGGTTTTCGACTGAAAAATCTAAAATTTAAAAAATTTCTAAACCTGCATTTTTTTGCAGCAAACCTGTAATTCTTAAACCGATATTTTACAATCTAATCTAGAAATACCAATATATATTAGTTTTAATCCAAATACCAAATGTAATTCAAATACCAAATAATATATATATATATACAAATACTATTATAATCAATTCATATCCAAAATATATATACACCATGGTAATTCAATATTAACATGTTTTTAAACGTAACAAAATACACCCTAAGAAATCAGCTATATAACACTAAGTAAATCAATCCTAATCTACATATATATCCAAGGTCCTGATCATGCAATATGAACATAATAACACGGTCAGTGTTGTATACACAAAACAATATATTCATAATTAACCAATTTTCACACAACAATGTATTCGTACCTTATTATAAGATTATTAGCTCAATAAAATATTGGCACAACTCCTCTTTGAGTTCTTCCAATTGACGTGGCGAGTAATATGGACAATTGTATTGATCAAAATACTACATTACAAAACAAAATATATGCGTGATTTAGTTTAATGTAATAAATTATATGCAAAATCCGATAAGTAATAAAACAAAGTATAAATCCATACCGTGATTGGAATCTCGATTTCATTCATTTGAATGATTTCTTTGATAAACATCAAAACGAAGTATCCGCAATCTATGCCGTTTTGTTGTTGAGGGCACTACATAGAAAAACAAATAAGATTATACACATCTATTGATTTATCAAGTAGCATAAATATTATAAGCAAAATTGTTGAAATTTATATACCTGTACTTTGATCCAATTAATGTTGTTTGATCTAGACCGTGGTACTCGTGCTCCCCTTTGACATCGGAATACTTGTATTGAACTGATGACAAAATTAAAATATTTATTTAGAACAATGACATTGAAATAATTAAATATATAAACACAAACGAATATTTAGAATAATGTCACTTACGTATCAATCACTAGCTTCATTTCCGGATAATTTGTCCAATCACCGTCAACCGAATTCAGGTAATAGACCACTTCTTTTATGGGATTGATTGCAAGCAACAACCAGTGACATCTATAAATTAAAGCAACAATTTAGAAGCGAATTTTAATGTAAAAAATACAAATATTAAAAGGAGCTTAGAATGAAAATCTAACCCTGTATTATAAGGCAAAAGATACAAGCTCTCTGTACTGGCAGTTGTCCTGAATCTTTCGACCAAGTGTTCTCTTACTGAATCAGGTTCCCTAGAAATTGTTGCTCCGCTAACACGGGAGGAAGACACGAAACGGAATCTATTTGACAATTGATTCCCGCGCATCAATTTGTCAAATAACATCCTTAAATAAAAACATAATTAATATTAGACTATTTCAATTAAATGTTTAAAAAAAATGTTCAACCAATTAAATAATATATTGATCGGGTTACCGGATGTACGAGTGCATCACACTGATGCCTAACTCTCGATGATGAAAGATTTGTTCCATGTCCTCTAATCCAATTGTTTCGGTACATGGAAAACCAAAGACAATTTCATCCACATCGATTTGACGAATTCCATCATTCATCAAATCTGATGTGCCAACTAGTGTCTCCAGACACTGTCGATACCTAGGCACAAATTTACGGACAGGAACCTTCTTCTTAGGTGGAACCCTACTACCTTTCTGGCTCACCTGCTGTGACTGATCTTGAGAAGGTACCTTAAAAATCATATAGAATTATGTAAGATACAAAGTTATGCACTTTTTTATTCCGATCATAAATGAAACACTATAAAAGTACCTGTCTTTGCGATGCAATAGACTCGCCGCGCTGCAAAATCCCTTTATCCTTAGATGCGGGTTTTACAGGAGTCTAAAATTACCATGTATAAAATTCAGGTCAGAACTGTCAGTTGAATACTTAAAGATTCATAATGGTTTTCAACATACCTGATCATCTATGCAGATGAGGTCTGATGGCCATGCCACAAAAGATCCTACTGCATCTCGCAGCAATGTGGTCTCCGCAACAATGTCAGGTACCGGTAGCAATGCATTCATATCTAAAACAACATCAACCGATACCTTCATGTGGCCATCCGGGAGCGGTCTATGGTGAATTAAATCTCCCGAGGTGTTGTGCACTTTTCCCTTGCCAACTACCCGATAAGTCGGAGAAGCTAGATACAGCTGACAACATGAAATGCCCTAAACCAATAATAATCGTTAGACTTCCTTTAATGTTGACAATAATAACCGTTATAATTATACTTTCTCTAAATATAATGGATTATCATCTTAATTACCTCGGGAAAATTTTGTTGACGGTTGATACTAGCCTTGTCACTAGTTTCTTTCAACTGTGAACTGCTCCTTTCGGCCATATACCTCTCTTTGTCCCTCTGCAGTTCACGGACTTGTGCTTGTAAATCCTGCAATGTTTGCATCACTTCCGCATTGCTAGGATTTCTTTTTCTTGGATTGTTATACAGAGAGGTAGGAGTCACACCATGGCCTTTACCCCTCACTCGTCCCGGATACTCAGCAACACATAGTGCTCGACTGAGTACGCTCCTGATATTCGAGTCATCACCCGAGGATACCGATTGCGATATAGTCTCCTGTAATTCATTTAAATATCGATAATTAAAGACACAACGTTAATTATATATTAATTAAAGACATAATGGTATACTTACACACTCATCATAAATATGTTGCAGATCGGGGTTAACAACTTTATCTCTGCCAACACGAGCTTCCTTCCACAGCACATGTGCAGGTAGTGATGTTTCGTCACTCTGCGTCTCCTCCAACTACGCATTGTTACAAATAATAAAATCATCAATACACATTGTTACAAATTAATAATACACATTGAGATAATTAATAAGATCGTAGAATTGAGATTTACTTACAATTTTTTCCTGTAAGCGTGCATATCCCAAACGACCTTTTTTATATGGATATGCGGGTTTTGACGCTCTATCCCGATTTACAGCACTCACTTTCTTGAAATTATCGTCTTTTATTTGGCCCACAAAAGTAACCCATTCTTCGGGTGTAATGAAGCTCTCATATTTTTTTGGTCGTTCAGGTTCCTCTTCAACAAAATTTCCTTCATCGTCTTTAAGAAACTTATTTGTCAAAAAATTTCTCCACCCTCTATGTCTTTTTCCGGCCAAGTCCATTATATACTTTTTGCGGGCATCTTCAATGTTAAAAGACCTCTACAAAAAAACATACGCATAAAGGGTGTTAGTATATGTAATTTAAAAACAATATTTTCGTCAAAATAAAGCAAATAACAACAACCATATATGATACCTTTATCTCGGTCCAAATTCTTTCTTTAGCATCCAACTCTCCTTTTTTCCAGCTAGTAGTGGTGATCGGAATGGCAATTCAAAAAAAATCGACCTCTTCTTCCACCCACCTGTGACAACTTTATGTGCAAAAGGCTTGCCAAACTGAATATTCACATCTTTCACCTTTTCAAAAATTTGTTCACCTGTCAAACCAGGCGGAGCTCTACGTTGTTCGGTATCTCCGTTGAACGCTTTTCTCCATCCACGATACTGATGTTTAGAAGTTAAGAATCTACGATGACCGAGAAAGACATTCTTCTGACAAAGTTTCAATCGCATGGTATCGGTTCCGTCTTCACAAACAGGACACGCTTTTTCACCTTTAATGCTATACCCGGATAGATTGCCGTATGCTGGAAAATCGTTAATTGTTCCAAACAACATCGCCCTCAAGTTGAAACTTTCTTTCCTATAACCATCATAAACCTCCACACCGTTCTCCCACAAAATCTTCAAATCTTCGATTAATGGTTCCAAGTATACGTCTATGTCATTTCCTGGTTGTTTAGGCCCAGAAATTAACATAGACATCATCATGTACTTACGCTTCATACATAGCCATGGAGGTAGGTTATAAATCATAAGAATCACAGGCCATGTGCTATGCGAGATACTTTGAATACCGTGTGGGTTCATTCCATCAGTAGACAATGCCAAGCGAAGGTTTCTTGCTTCTTTTCCAAATTCAGGATAATCATTATCAATTTTCATCCACTGTGGAGAATCTGCCGGATGTCGAAATTTTCCATCAATAATTCTTTCATCTGAATGCCAAGTCAATTGTCTTGAATCGGTTTCACTACGATACATCCATCTAAATCTCGGGATTATAGGAAAATACCATAAGACTTTTGCCGGAGACAACTTTTTCTTATATCGAGGGGCACCGCATTTAGGACACTCATTTAACGATGCATACTCGTTTCGAAACAAAACGCAATCTTTTGGACACGCGTGTATCTTATCATAGCTCATGCCAATGGAGTACAACATCTTTTTGGCCTCATACGTTCGATTGGGAAGAACATTATCCTCTGGTAGCATATCTTTCATAAGGGCTAATAACTCTGTGAAACTTTTATCCGACCATCCATTGCCGGCTTTTAAGTTGTACAACTTTAACACCGCAGACAATCTTGTGAATTTTGTACAACCATTATACAACGGTTTCTCTGCATCGCTTACAAACCTCTCGAACATTTTGGGACAATCGTTAAGATCTTCTTCAAGCGCTTCTGCAATTTCTTCGACTCGATCATAATCGTATGTATCTGTGCAATCATCATTTGAAACATAGGTCCTTGCATACCCCGATTCAACATTCCCGTTACTTTTCTCACCATGCATATTCCAACATGTATAACTCCTATCAATTCCATACCGAATTAAATGCGATGCCAACTGAACTGCGTCAACCCGGTTCCCATAACAGCAATACAAACAGGGACATGTCATACGACTGGGGTCTTTGGCGTGCGCAACAACAAACTTAACAAACTCGGAAACACCATTCTCGTAGTCTTTCGACAATCGATTGGAATACATCCATGTCTTATCCATATCAACTAATTAGTGCACAAAACAGTAGTATACTGCGTTTCTGTCAAAATGCAAAGTATACACGGAATGAATCCGTATCAAGAAAATGCAACATACGAAAGACAATTTAAGACAAATTCATCACAATATATACCAGTAATTTGAGGAAGAAAGTTACCTCTCAGATGTTTCGAACTCTAAGAAACGCGGAGAATGAGCGTCGTACGTCGAACTAGGCCGGGAAACACTGCAATTTCATAGAATGTTATTCAATATTTCGGATCGATTGTCGAAAGATATATACTATTTTAACATAAAGGTTCACAATAAATGTCACATATATATTTTCAATGTTTGGGAAAGCTATGACAATAATACAACACAAATATTAGAAATAGTGAATTCACAAAGTCAACATAAGGTTGATGCGATGAACTGATACTATTAAATAAATGCTTCACACGATTCACCATATTTTTAGTAACAAGTTCATATATCACATTGCATATGGAAATAGGATGAAATGGTTTAAGATACTCAGACTAGAAATGGGGCAGCATTGTTATCATAACACAAGTTAATCGGAAGTTGCTAACGGAAACAAGAAAATTAAGCATTAACATTCACGAAAGATTCAATTAAATGCGGATAAATGTCAAACGGAAAATTAAGGCGAAATATGTACATTGAACCAAGTCCGGACAACATATTTTATTCACAAAAACGCACATAAAATTAGTTCTGAAATCAATTGAAATGGTACTGGTGTTTGACAATTACCAAAACAAACTATTCTAAACGATTAGAAATAATTAATTGAACAATTTTCATGGTCTTCTAATACCGGACAACCTTATACCTCAATAAAGAGTGGCTTGAAAAACCTCAACAAAAACGGTGTAACTCAATCGCATTAATCCACAAACGTAACAAAATGCAAGAATAGGCATCAAACAATTTTAAAGTTCAATTGACAAGGTATTCAAGAGTTCCGGTATAATTCGACATCCAAAAGTTATCAACAAAATTTATTCGGATTCAACATCAAATTCACCAATTCACCATGATTTGATACCAACAGCCATGAACTAACATGAATCTAACATTTATACTCTAGACTCTTGTTCTAAAACAAAGATACCCATCAATCAACCTATTCCTCTTTTCATCCTTTTTACACTGTTCAAGAAATCAAGACTTATGCATATTCAATAATTCAAATATATCATGAATTTTCAAGAACAAAGTTCAACACAATTCAAGAATCATATAATTGTTTAACAAGTCAACTTCAAGAATCACACCCCAATATTCAATTCAATGTCAAATTTACTCATGAAATTAAAACTTTGTTCAATTCAACAATCCAAAGTTTAACCTAACTCATGAACATCCAACATAATTTCATTCCTAATTATCATCATCACCTTATAAATAAATGTTTTCCAAATATGTCCTTGTTCCACTCCTTAATAAAAATAATCATACCATCTAACAATGAGACTAACTATCCCCAATAAACCCCATTTTCACGCAGCCAATACCCAAAGTTATCATGCATAAGCCAATCTGAACCGTCCAAATCTAATAATTAATTCTATGGTTAACTGGAAGAAAAGCTAGCCCAAAACTCATAAGAACACAACAATGAATTTCATTGAACCAATTTAAGGCGAAACAGAAATGTAGGTTAAGCTTGTTCAAGATGTAGGTTTTTGTTTAATATAAGATGAACAGATAATGGAAGAAGATAATGGAAGAAGAAGAAACTTACCAAGATGGAGAAGACGGAACGAACGGCGGCGACGACTGAAGAAGACGGAACGAACGGCGGCGACGACGAAGACGGCAGAAATGAGGAAGACGAAGAAATGAAGAAGACTGAACGAAAGAAATGAAGAAGACTGAAGAACAGATTTAGGGATTTTTAATTTAATTATAAAAACAACCTACGAAAGCGCTTTTAAAAGCGCTTTCGTATGCCCCCATATGAGAGCGCTTCTGAGGTAAAAAGCGCTTTCGTATGCCCCCCATATAAGAGCGCTTTAGAAAGCGCTTTCGTAGGTCCCCCTTTCAGAGCGCTTTTCAAAAGCGCTTTTATAGGGCCACCTATAAGAGCGCTTTTCAAAAGCGCTTTCGTAGGTTAGATATTTCAAATACCTATGAAAGCGCTTTCTGAAAAGC